AGTTATATTAACAAGGGGTTTAGTCATCTCTTCACCATTCAAGTTATACCAACAAGGGCTTTAGTCATCTCTTCACCATTCCAGTTATATCAACAAGGGGTTTAGTCATCTCTTCACCATTCCAGTTGAGGCAATGTATTTATAAAATAAGTATATTGCATATTATAATATTTAGTGATACGTCATGATATAGTCCGATTAATTTATTATGTATAAATAAATTGTTTGTTTACCGATAAGAAATATTAACATTAATACATGTTTAGTTATTGTTTACCAGCCGAACTGATAGTGATGTCGTTTCGTATCTACTATCTAATTTATTTGAAGTGGATTACATATAAAGGTTGTTGTTTCTCTGCCATAAACGTGAACATTGTGCAATAAAACCTACCACCAACGCCTACACACACGTACAATAGGTTTCGATATTTACCCAATTACGTATTATAACTGACTGATCTATTCATGGCGTCAGCGTTTCTCAACAATTTCCTTTTTAATGTCTTTTTGATTTCACCGAATCCTTTCAATGTTCTCCAAATAATAGAACACCATTTATAATATACCCTAATGTTGAAAAATATTGCTGTTAATGTCCTCACTTTAGATAAGGTACAGTGCGTTACCGAAACGTAACTTGACATTCTGTATGCTTAAGTCTACAAAACTGTACATGTTCCTACTTTCCTGTGCTGTTTGGTCTTTAATTGTCTATTTTACCCTTAATGAGCCATAAACAGACTACGGACTAACAATAAATATATTGTGACATACAGAAAGAAATTCATCTGATTTACGAGAGAAATATATCTGAATTAAGAGGGAAATACATCTGACGTACAGAGGGAAATACGTTTGACATACAGTGGAAAAACGTGTGACTGAAGTGGTAAATATATCTGACATTCAGAGAAATATATCTGACAAACAGAGAAGTATATCTGATATACGGAGAAATATTACTCGCATACAGAGAAATATATCTGATATACGGAGAAATATTACTGACATACAGAGAAATATATCTGATATTCAGAAAAATATATTTGATATTCATAGAAATATAACTGACATACAGAAAAAAATATCTGATATGCATAGAAATATAACGGACATACAGAGAAATATATCTGATATTCAGAGAAATATATCTGATATACAGAGAAATATAACTGACATACAGAGAAATATATCTGATATTCAGAGAAATATAACTGATATACAGAGTAATATATCTGATATTCAGAGAAATATATCTGATATACAGAGAAATATAACTGACATACAGAGAAATATATATGATATTCATAGAAATATATCTGCTTTACAAAGAAATATTTCTGATATTCAGAGAAATATATCTGACATACAAAGGAAATTATTCGTTCAATAATTTGATATATCACGAGCCTTTAACTTGTTTAATAATTTGGTATGGCACGAGCCTTTAGGAGAGTGTCATATACAATTGTTGAACGAGTTAAATAAATTTAGTATGACATGGACACAAATGTAAGATTTTATTTATCACATAACAATCATAATTTGAAAAAATCTTCAAACACAATAACGTGTTATCAGCTGACTCTTGTAGTTAAAATCTAACTACTCCGATCATAACATTGTCGTTTCGGGCAGTGCAGAGTAGCTCTAGATATTTGTCTCTTTTTTAAAGTAATGAGCAGTGTTAAATTCGTTTGAAATAGCAATAAATGTATCATGTATTATAATAAACAAAAGTAGTATCTTTAGTGGCGTATGAATATATTCCCACGGTTTTGACCAATCGCAGCACCTTTCCTTTAGGTTTTATTACACATGTGTGATACCATGGGTATGTCATAATAAAATGAGTCAGTTATGTGATAAAAGTATATATATGACATACAAGGTATCATATGCAGGTATATACATATATTAATGTAACATACAGTGTATCACATACAGTTATATACATATAATAATGTGACATACAGTGTATCACATACAGTTATATACATATAATAATGTGCCATACAGTGTATCACATACAGTTATATACCTATATATTAATGTGACATACAGTGTATCACATACAGTGTATCATATACAGTTATATACATATATTAATGTAACATGCAGTGTATCATATACAGTTATATACATATAATAATGTGACATACAGTGTATCATATAAGTTATATACATATATAATAATGTGACATACAGTGTATCATATAAGTTATATACATGTAATAATGTGACATACAGTGTATCACATACAGTGTATCATATACAGTTATATACATATATTAATGTAACATACAGTGTATCATATAAGTTATATACATATAAAATAATGTGACATACAGTGTATCATATACAGTTATAAACATATATTAATGTAACATACAGTGTATCACATACAGTGTATCACAAACAGTTATATACATATATTAATGTGACACACAGTGTATCACATACAGTTATATACATATATTAATGTGACACACAGTGTATCACATACAGTTATATACATATATATTAATATGACATACAGTGGAAAACATATCTGATTTTCGAGGAAAGCGGGAAATAATCTTACTTATGAGGGAAGTATATCGAAATTTAAAGAAAGAAAGACACTGACATTACAAGGAAGATTATCTGACATACAATGGACTCTGACTTTACAAGGAAGATTATCTGACAAGCAATGGACACTGACTTTACAAGGAAAATAATATGACAAACAATGGACACTGACTTTACAAGGAAGATTATCTGACATACAATGGACACTCACTTTACAAGGAAGATTATCTGATATACAGCGGACAATGACTTTACATTAAAGATTATCTGACATACAATGGACACTGACTTTACAAGGAATATTATCTCACATACAGTGGACACTCACTTTACAATGAAGATTATCTGACATGCAATGGACACTCACTTTGCAAGGAAGATTATCTAACAAGCAATGGACACTGACTATACAAGGAAGATTATTTGACATACAGTGGACACTGACTTTACGAGGAAGATTATCTGATATACAGCGGACAATGACTTTACAAGGAATATTATCTGACATACAAGGGACACTGACTTTACGAGGAAGATTATCTGATATACAGCGGACAATGACTTTACAAGGAATATTATCTCACATACAATGGACACTGAATTTACAAGGAAGATTATTTGACATACAGTGGACATTGACTTTACAAGGAATATTATCTCACATACAATGGACACTCTCTTTACAAGGAAGATACTCTGACATACAGTGGACATTGACTTTACAAGGAATATTATCTCACATACAGTGGACACTCACTTTACAAGGAAGATGATCTGACATACAATGGGCACTGACTTTACAAGGAATATTATCTGACATACAATGGACTCTGACTTTACAAGGAAGGTTATCTGACATACAATAGACACTGACTTTACAAGCAAGATTAGCTGACATACAATGGACTCTGACTTTACAAGGAATATTATCTCACATACAATGGACACTGACTATACAAGGAAGATTATCTCCAATAAAATGGACACTGACTTAACAAGAGGATTATCTGACATACAGTGGACATTGACTTTACAAGGAATATTATCTGACATACAATAGACACTGACTTTACATGGAAGATTATCTGACATTCAATGGACACTGACTTTACAGGGAAGATTATCTGACAAGCAATGGACACTGACTTTACAAGGAAGATTATCTGACATACAATGGGCACTGACTTTACAAGGAAGATAATCTGACATACAATGGACACTGACTTTACAAGGAAGATTATCTCACATACAATGGACACTGACTTTACAAGGAAGATTGTCTGACATCCAATGGACACTGACTTTACAAGGAAGATTATCTGACATACAATGGACACTGACTTAACAAGGGGATTATCTGACATACAATGGACACTGACTTAACAAGAGGATTATCTGATATACAATGGACACTGACTTTACAAGAAAGATAATCTGACATACAATGGACACTGACTTTACAAGGAAGATTATCTGACATACAATGGGAAACCATTATATTCTGTTTTACCACGAAGAAACTAAACCTTTAACACTTTTATTTTATGAATTAAGTATGATATGGCAAACTTTCATCATTCCAACGATGCAGTGATCTGTTCATACTTTCGTTCATGTGATATACCCTAAAGACAAATGTTCATTGTCATTTGTTCATTGTTACTGGATTTTTTATTGTTCTTAATTAACATGTAAGATGAAGAGAATTTTATGTTTTCTTGAATCTAGGCTATCTTTTTTAATCCTGTTTTTTTTTCATTTGCGATATGGTATTGAACATCTTCAAAGAAAACGTGAGCCGAACTGACCTGTTATATGACAAAGAATTGTAACACATCTGACAAGTTTATCTGTATGGCCAGCAACAGGACATACCAACTGTGACACGGTTATGATAATTTGATGATATGACAATGAAAAAATATCTTTTAATGATTCTAAAAACTTGTTATGGAAGGGAGATAACTGTTGAAATATTGTTGACTCATAAGAGTGAGCTACAAAAGTAAAACTCTAGGAACACATATTGCGTAAGTTTAAAATCAAATTAGCTATAAAATAACCAAAGTGAGAATTTCTTTTGTTCTCAGTACTCTGTAAATATTATACTGTAGTGAAGACATTCTGAATGTTTGACTCAGATGAATCTTTGTGGCGGTTTTTGGCCAACCCCACTTAGGCTAGCTGACCTTTTTTGTTTATATTGTGTGGTAGCTGCTCCTATTTTTGTGAGATTGCAACTATATTTGAACTTCTTTCAAGCATTTCTTTTGTTTTTATGCTTATAGTCATTAAAGTGGCTCTATTGGAATAAATTCAAATTCTTCACAATGTTGGTGGCCATTTCATTTAGTTTGGTGGTTGGAGTTTTTTCTTGTTATGAGTGTAGAAGCATAAATATATATGCGAGCCTTTTGGTCAGGTACATCTATTATTTTATTATACAACATACATATATCACAGCATTTAACAAATATTTATCATATTTAACAGACACATCAGTGCCATGTACGTCTATTGATGTTGTCTGCGCAGAATCATTACCATACAAAAACCTCGATGTTGTCTACGCAGCATCATTGCCATACAAAAACCTCGATGTTGTCTACGCAGCATCATTGCCATACAAAGATCGCGAAATTGTCTATGCTGCACCGTTGCTACGCGACATCATCGGCATTCAAAGATCTCAATTTTGTCTACAAGTGTTTCCTTTACGGAAAATTAAAACGAATATTTATTAAATGAAACTAGGTCAAATGCAATATTGGGGCAAATAACAATTTCCAACAACAGTTCCACAGTAAAGATATGGCACATTTGTTGTACGTGATAATATTCAACATGTTATTGATAAGTTTTGGAATTATACTGATCGGTCATACATCAAACTGTGCTGGAGTCGATTCTATGTTGCAATGATACATAACAGGAAGTGCCTATTTATTTTCAATCTCACATGTGATAAACTTTCAGAACTGTCGACCTGTGTTTTGTATAGTGAACACAATTCACTGTTTTATTAGTATCATGTGTCATAATACGAAAAGAAAATGCATATCACGAAGAGTGAAACTGCCTTACCAACATATCTACAAAGATCTCCATCCGTCTATATAGGTTCTCTGCTATCAAGTCACCTAATGGTGTTTTATACATGTGAGAAATTAAACTTAAGTAACAGTCCAGACAACAAGATGTTTTACATGTTCTGTCTATTGTTCTGACTAAGTAACCATATTCCTTTAATCACCGTATATAAATGTAAACCGGTATTCACTTTGGAAAACAAAACAAAAATAACCAAGACAATACCGAAGAGTCAATAAAACCGTGAAACTCTTAAACTGTTAAAACTATAAAACTACGGCAAAATTTGAGCTAAATGAAGATTTACATGAAGACCTGGCAAACGACGAAGACAATAAGACCAGACGTTCCAGAAGGGTAAGCGTCTTCTGCTTCATCAACGACGCCCGCCATCTTAATCAAATCAAAGTATCATTGCGTCATCATGGCAAGAACCTAGGAAGAGACCACGAAACAACAATACATGCTTATTAACATAAAAAACATCAGCCTTTACACCACACAAATAATTAGAATTTAGCAATTGAGATCACGATGACGGCCATAAATTTATCCATAATATTATCAACCCGCTTCTTTGGAAGTCATGTGTGTTCGCAAGATTTTAAAGATACATATTGCTTGAAACATGTTCGTGTTTGATAAACATCAATACATTACTATATTTAGAGTTTGACTGACATTTATATTAAGATGCTTACAGATACACGAATGATGTAACAGAAGAATTGTCAGAGCAATGAAGAGATGTAAGTACGACCAGGTGGTACTACATAGCAACTGAGGTTGCACAATCATATAAATGTCTGTACCACTTTAGTTGTTTTGTATCCAAGAGAATAAATCTGAACTTTTGTTGCTAAAACAGGTACTTGCACCAATTTAAAAACAACAGTCATTTGACTGTTCCAAAAATATCTATTTATGCATATACGACTGATTGCTCATTTATTACAAAGGCGGCTTTTCATTCAAACTTCCAGGTAAGGCAGGATTTGGAGCAGGAGGACCGTAGTTTCCGCTGGCCGAAGGCTGACCGCTATATGCCGGAGGGGGCAGGTATTCAGGCGGACTTCCAGGTGGAGCACCACCCGTAGGGCCGTATCCAGGTTGTCCGAGTGGTGGACCAACTACCTGATTGCCGAGATAAGCTGGTTGCATTGTGAAATTTCCTTGTCCGTAGCCTATTGGTTGAGCAGCGATTGGCTGGTGTCCGTAGGGTTGTCCTTGAAGTTGAGTTGTGATTGGTTGATGGCCGATCGGATGTTGATACATGATTTGCTGGTTGGTTGTTGCCATAACGACCATGGGTTGACCACCTGGTTGAGGGGCTTGGGCGATCACTGGGGGTGGAGACATGTTCTGGGCGATGACACAGCAGACGATGGCTAGCACTAACATACCGATGCCGCTTACGGTGGACAGGACGAAGGAATACCCCAAAGTGACGGGTTCAGACGTATACAAACTGTACAGGGCATCAATGTTATTGTAAAACGACAAAGCGAACCAGGTCACCGACGCCAAGATGAAGAAAGCTGCAAATGTGAACAAATACGTAAGAAAGTGTTAAATCTTTTAATAGATCTCGCATTTTGTCGGTGTAACTGAAGAAATGACAGTTCGAAATATATACATGTATTTGCATTTCGCAATCAAAACCCATGAAGTCTAATGATGAACAGCATAACAGGTTTGCGAAAACCCACACATATCCCTTAGTAAGGTCACGCTTTCGTTTGAGAGTATGTTACTGCCTGTATATATTATTTATCTGGTTTGTAAGGCTTGTATGTGGGCGTGGTATTCCATAGAGATAGTAAACACTGTGTCTAATTGTATATTCAGTCAATGAAACATAATCACGATACACACGTTCCCGAATCGTGTTGAAACAAGAATAAAACAATAATCAAATGGAGAAGTATCGAATAGAGAAGACTTGGTGCTACCTGTAATAAACGATGATGTTTTGTTCTGTAGTAATGTAAGTACACAAAAATCATTCTGCAGTTTGATGTGAGTTATGAAAACAAAGGTCTTTCAATATTGAAACAAATTATATTTCTCCAATCATAACCATTGTAAAAGTTTCATGTTGTTCAGGTTGATATAAAAAAAAACAGTCTATTGGGTTCACAAATTAAACAAGAATGATACAGACAGTGATCTGTCGTTTACGTCGCGGAAGTTATCGCCTGATTACAGCGGAACACGTGGCACGCTTCTTCTAATATCTATGTTTCAATTGAACTTTAGAAAAGTTACTTTTTCAGATTTCTTGTTAAAATCTGAAACGTAATTTTGAAGACTATATAAGAATACTTCAATATTTCCAATATAAATATTTCCTGGTCGGCAATTGTTAGTCGTCCACGCTTGAAGTGATCAATACGTATCCGCCTAGTGATTTGGTTTAATTGTAATTTCGTATGCTGGATTTGACATACCGTAGGAAGTACTGAAGTACCAAAAAGGTTTGGCTGTCTAAACTCCTGCAAAATTGGTGTTAATGTCCCAATCACCTTTAGCTTAAAAGTCAATATTATGATTACAGACATCGCAACCGTATACCGTTCCCATTCTGCGTTATAGCTGCATTTACAATAATGCAGTACAAAACATAAAAGGCATGGTACCTATATATTACCTGCTGTGAAAGACAATGCCGCAAGATTTTTTACGATGAACTTCTCTGGTTTTTTGCTGTTAGTAGCGCCAACTATGCCTGAAATCGATGTTACAAGCATTAGGATACTTCCGATGGTCTGGCATGCAGCAAATCCTAGGTAATGTACTGGAACGATAAAACAGGCCAAGCTCAGGATAATCAACAGTATATTGCATCAGTGTCACGTGATTTATATACATATATATAACCTATATAAAACAACAATGTAACAATATTCACATAAAATGGTCCAGTGATTATTTAAGCTAAAAACACGTGATTTGTTTAGGCCAAGTTGATACATTACATTAGTAATCAGAAGAGAAGAAATGAGAAGTCAGCTTAATTAACTCCTGTTTATAAACCGAAATTACCTCAACTCACGGACAAAATTCTTCCTCCAAACCATCTGGACGCGATACAAATAATGTTTGACAAAAAACTCTGTTTTTTTAGTTAGAAGTATTTTATTTTCCATTCTCATGATATGTAAGTGTTTGGGAGCCCTGGTATCAGCCTCCCGTACAAATGGATGTCTACGCTAAGGAGGTCAATCATATAACGCCCCCACGTTTTTTTGTATATTATAGCACTATATTGTTATAATAGCTGAATTCCTTATTTCTTATCCTGTTCCCTTCATGTATTCATGAACTTTTTTAAATCCCAATGTCTAGGATGCATACTACAGCAAAGAGAAAGAGTGTCCAAAGAGCAATATATCAATATCTCTCTCTAGTGATGCACTCCCGAGCTGGGACCTGCTCTACATCTTCAATAAAGTCTGTTTCTTAACCTCACGATTTAATTCTCAATATAATTATATAAAATCGGGGAGCTCCCATTATTTGTAATCTACGCAAGTTCTCTTGGATCGACATTCCCTATGAACATAACCGGAGGCAGGTAGTAACTATATATCGGTACCTGGTACAGACACAGGCTCATTAAGACCACATCCAAACAACCCTTAGGCTTTGTGATTTTTCCTATATACATGAGTTGATCTTTAATGCATGGTCCGATTAAAAAAGTAATATAGTTGCCTTTCGATCAACTAGAGATGTTACGTGATCAGGTTACCGATAAAATCTTGTTTTGCCTTTTGTTTAAAGATATATCCTGCATGTATCCATATTTTGTTTTGCTTTTTGCCGTTATATGACTAATTAAAGACGTCTGAAGCAACGCAAAGCACTCGCTAGTAAATTAAGGCTGATTTAATGCAAAATGTTTGCAAACACAACACGGAATTAGAAATTAAATGAATATTCATTTTGTTCTAATGTTAAAAAAGAGTAAAGTTAAATATATCCTCTCATCTACATCAAACAGCGACAATTAAGTGGTTAGCATATTTCAGATAAGTTCAACTTAAGGTTTACATTCCACATTAACTTATCAAAATAAATCTGGTGCACTTGACTAGTAATTATTTTCGACAACTATTAAAAGTGAACTAGAACAAACTGTAGCACAGGGACAATACATCTGGTTAAACCATTAACTGTGAAAGGTTAGACAGGGACAATACATCTGGTAAACCATTAACTGTGAAAGGTTAGACAGGGACAATACAACTATCGGGAAATTTAAGAAGTCTCGATTTGTAAAGAGACGCCCTTATTGTTATAATGGAGGTAAATGTGAAAATATGATGTTTAAGATGAAGAATATGAAAGATCTCTAATTTCAAATATTAAAATTAAACAGTTTTGTAGCTAAATCAGTATTATTGTGATATTGTTGGAAAAAGAGAAAAAAAAAACATTTAAGGAAAGGACCCTGTTACATCTCTAATTCCTAGGTTTAGAGGCGAGGAGTTGGGGAGTGAGGTAAAACTATTATCTTATTGCAGGTTTTAGTGGATAAATGGAGTTATGGCATTTATTTTGATTTAAGTACAAAACAAAACACATTAGCAAAATGTGACCTGTCCACAGTCTAACGGTAGAAACACCAGTTTATCACGTGACCGGTTAACAGCCGTACGGTCGTTTACACCAAAATGTCACATGACCAGTCATGATCAGCAGCCATACTGTAGCAATCACCAGTTTATTATGTGATCAGTTAACGGTAGCAAAATGGCTTGTTACTTTGCGTAATTTTTAGGGAAAATATTTTTGTTTTTAACAACATGATTATATAATTATATTATTATATATAGATTCAGGTTACAACAATATAATAAAATTATATTGCCAAGCACAATATTGATAGTTTGTTGTGAAGTTACTGTATTTCTTTGTCTGCATTACATATCTACTGAAACTGTATAGACGGCTAGCACCAATGTCACAGCGAAAATCACGGATAGACGTATAGCGTCTACAACAACACATCCACACAAAGACTTATCGCAACCAGTGATGGTTGGTTGTCATGCTAATCCTATTCTAGTAAGCTAATTTTCAAATTATGTAAAATTGTTGGGGAAAAGGACAAGGGGTGTTAAGGATCATTTCCGGCCTGTGCTTACGCTGGAGGTGTTATCGCAGTATAGTTGCAGTTAAAGGCGTTAATGATGGCGGTGTTATCGTAGCATGGTTGTAGTTAAGGATGTTTATGATGGCGGGGTTATCACAGTATGGTTATAGGAAAGGATGTTAATGATGGTGGTGTTATCACTGTATGGTTGTGGTTAAGGATGTTTATGATTGTGGTGTTATCGTAGCATGGTTGTAGTTAAGGATGTTTATAATGGTGGTGTTATCGTAGCATGGTTGTGGTTAAGGATGTTTATGATGGCGGGGTTATCACAGTATGGTTATAGTCAAGGATGTTAATGATGGCGATTCTATCACAGTATGGTTGTAGTATCGGATGTTAATGATGGCGGTGGTATCACAGTATGGTTATAGGAAAGGATGTTAATGATGGTGGTGTTATCACAGTATGGTTATAGCAAAGGATGTTAATGATGGCGGGGTTATCACAGTATGGTTATAGGAAAGGATGTTAATGATGGTGGTGTTATCTCTGTATGGTTGTAGTTAAGGATGTTTATGGTTGTAGTAAAGGATTTTTATGATGGCGGTGTTATCAAAGTATGGTTATAGTAAAAGATGTTAATGATGGCGGTGCTATCACAGTATGGTTATAGGAAAGGATGTTAATGATGGCGATGCTTTCACAGCATGAGTGTAGTTAAGGATGTTTTTGATGGCGTTGTTCTCACAATATGGTTGTAGTAAAGTATGTTAATGATGGCGATGCTTTCACAGCATGAGTGTAGTTAAGGATGTTTTTGATGGCGTTGTTCTCACAGTATGGTTGTAGTAAAGTATGTTAATGATGGCGATGCTTTCACAGTATGGTTATAGTAAAGGATGTTAATGATGGTGGTGTTATCACTGTATGGTTGTAGTTAAGGATGTTTATGATGGCGGTGTTATCACAGTATGGTTATAGTAAAAGATGTTAATGATGGCGGTGTTATCACAGTATGGTTGTAGTAAAGGATGTTTATGATGGCGGCGTTATCACAGTATGGTTGTAGTAAAGGATGTTAATGATGGCGATGCTATTACAGTATGGTTGTAGTAAAGGATGTTTATGATGGCGGTGTTATCACAGTATATTTGTAGTAAAGGATGTTTATGATGGCGGCGTATGGTTATAATTTATAGTTGTTGATGATGCTAGTGTTATCGCATTATGGTGGAATAAGGATGTTTACTTTCTTCATATAAATTGTATAACTTGTACACAGTTAAATTTTATCTCAATGTGACGAAAAACATAATGTGTACAGTACACGCTAAATGTTTTGCCGAATGCTTTCAATGCAAACTTATTACGTACAAAGTAGATTCGGTCTGATATTTACCACATCATAGCAAGACAAAACTCAAATGTCAAATATTAATGTAAGGAAATCGGAACGACATACATAGTTTTATTGTACTGTTTAAGATAACTTACTTGAAAATCCCATATAACCGATAAAGTTGAAACATATTTTCGACAAACATATTTGGAATACGCCGAAATGTAGTTCCAAGCCTTTGATATTCATCCAGTGTGGTGTCGCCAGTCCAACTACCTCCATCAGAAACAACACCGCTATCGCCACTGAAGCAACGATGACAGGTGTTTTCGCCATGTTTACAGGTCTTCCGGCGATGTCTCTATGTCAACTCGATATCCTTTCGAATGTTATTTAAACACGTTTTGTAGCATTGTCTGTTGCTCTTTTTCAAGATTTTTCTCACCTCTTAGCTAGCGACAAATGAAGAGTTCATATGTCCTTAACCTTCCTCAGTTATTCTGCCATATGCATACAAATGGCTCGTTGCTATGACAGTAATATAAATACACACGCAATGTTTTAGTCACTGACGTATTCGCGGAGATAGACATTTTATGACTTTGTTCTTCAATCTGTAAGAAATATACCACATATTTTCTCATGAATTTGGTCTCATTCTGAGAGGATTTAGCGAGCTATGTGACAATAGCCTTCTTAGCTAACAGGTAAAATTCGATCGATTGACGTCTCATTTAGGTACATAGTGATTCTGACGTACAGTGTCCTAGCGTTATCGCCATACCGGGACAACTCAATATGCTATCTACTACTGATAAATAATGAGTGTATTTCAAACCTCAGTGGGTTTTAATTTTTGATAAAAAACGATGGCAATCCCTTAGTTATATACATTTGTGATGCTGTCGAACAGAAATCAATATTGTCAATATATAGAGTAGCTACCGGCATGTCGGCAATACAACGCGCTAGAGAAGAGTCCACAGTGGCAAAATAATTATCCTAGATAGTAAAGAAATAGGGTGTTTATAAAAATTGTTTATGAAGGTAAACAATGTGTATTTCATATTGATTAACATTAGTCGTGGTTTCCTTTATATCCAAAACCTCGTCAGTATATTAGATATTCTTAATTACTTTAGAAAGTGTTGTTAACATCGATTAAAATGTAATTGGTTTACACGAGCAATCTCTGTGTGTTAAAGTTTGTTTTAGTCCCTGACATTACAAATAGCTCTTTGGAGTATTTAAAATATTCCGAAGTGTTATTGATATATAATTCAGAACGTAGGCTAGATTTCGGCCTCCTTTGTTAAATCGAATGGCTTCTAAAAGGGCACAGTAAGTGATCTACTTACCTAGATCATCGCTAAGGGTCACTAATGCAGTCGGCTTGAGTTTCCATATTAATTTTATTTTTAATCTTGTCTTACTTCTGAGGATGATACTCGTGGGTTTAGCCACTTAATGCTCACACTTTGCTGTTACACGTGGCCATACTCTAGATGATCATCTCGGGGTGGTCTGATTGGTCGTACTGTTGGTACAACAGTTGTGAAACCATGTCTCAGTGGAACGAAGGGGAACAAACCACGAGGAACCGACCATAACGTACTAAAAGGAAGATCAGCTTTACGATGTATCGTGTCAGTTCCCTCCCTAAATTTATTGTGGGCATTGAGTCTTCATGCAGTCCACTGACAGTGAAGAAATTCTTATTTAAACACATAACACTGGTTAACAGGCTCTTGTTAACAAATACGCCCGCTAAAGACAAGTACAGTAACACAATACAAAGCGCCCTTGTACAAGGAATGACGGGATCTCCTTAAAGCAGAGAGGTTATTGAATAAAACGAAGCTATATTTTCTGTTCTTATGCAATTATACAAGGATAATAACATTACATTTTTGGTACTATTCGTTCAGTGCAGGAGGTTATATTCCTCGAAAAAAGAATAGAACGTGATTTTTTTTTACCGTATAGTATTCAGCTATATAATTGGGCTCAAATTTCACACCATGACAGGGCCATTTTGATTATATTACAGGCCCTTTATGTCCTTTTCAATCTTATAAGCCTATGCACGGAGTTGTCATTAAGGGAGCTACAGATATCACTAAGTTTGGATAAAATTAGGCTGAGGGAAAGTCCCCATTTTTCCGATAACACATTCTTTGATGGTTACCCAATAACTCGACAGGCATCAAGAACGTACGAAGCGTTACGCGATTTTCACTTGCTTACAATAAATGTTATGGGAAGTATGCCGCTCCTTAACAGAAAGGTATCCTCAATCAAATCAAAATGTCTACTGTGTTTCAAGAAGGCTAATGACAGACTTGCACACTTTGAAGAATAAGACTGGATTGGATAAGGAGGAGTTCAATAACTACCGTCTGATATCAAAGTTGTCATATATATCTACTGATGTTTCGATAGGCATCTTGTCAAGACGGCCGGACGAACACATTTATATACAAATCATCCAGAAACTTATGACACTCTTTGCTGGATTCAGTCTTATTTGGGGGGATAGAAGACAGTGATTTGTCACAGAAACTACAATTTCAGATGATGAACACTTGGATTTCGGCAGGCGCGTAGCTGCCAATACGCTGGTATACAAGTTAATATACCGAATTCTCAAGCAGAAAAACATGAAAACAAAAACTAAAAAACTCTGCTTGATTGTACAACCAACCAATGCACTACCACACCCTACCAAGTACTGCCTCACTCTACCAATGTACTGCCACACCGTACCAATGTACTGCCACACCGTACCAATGCACTACCACAACCTACCAAAGTACTGCCACACCGTACCAATGTACTGCCACACCGTACCAATGTACTGCCACAACCTACCAATGTACTGCCACACCCTACCAATGTATTGCCACCCCCTACCAATGTACTGCCACACCGTACCAATGCACTACCACCCCCTCCCAAGTACTGCCACACCCTACCAAGTACTGCCACACCCTACCAGTGCACTGCCACACCCTACCAATGTACTGCCACACCGTACCAATGTACTGTCCACAACTTACCAATGTACTGCCACACCGTACCAATGTACTGCCACAACCTACCAATGTACTGCCACACCCTACCAATGTACTGCCACACCCTTCCAATGTACTGCCACACCCTATCAATGTACTGCCACACCCTACCAATGTACTGCCTCACCCTACCTATGTATTGCCACACCCTACCAATGTACTGCCACCCCCTACCAATGTACTGCCACACCCTACCAAGTACTGCCACACCCTACCAAGTACCGCCACACCCTACCAATGCACTGCCACACCCTACCAATGTACTGCCACACCCTTCCAATGTACTGCCACACCCTACCAATGTACTGCTTTACCCTACCTATGTATTGCCACACCCTACCAATGTACTGCCACACCCTAAAAATGTACTGCCACAACCTACCAATGTACTGCCACCCCCTACCAATGTACTGCCACACCCTTCCAATGTACTGCCACACCCTATCAATGTACTGCCACACCCTACCAATGTACTGCCCCAACCTACCAATGTACTGCCACACCCTACCAATGTACTGCCACACCCTTCCAATGTACTGCCACACCCTATCAATGTACTGCCACACCCTACCAACGTACTGCCACACCGTACCAATGTACTGCCACACCCTACCAATGTACTGCCACCCCCTACCAATGTACTGCCACACCCTTCCAATGTACTGCCACACCCTACCAATGTACTGCCACCCCCTACCAATGTACTGCCACACCCTTCCAATGTACTGCCACACCCTATCAATGTACTGCCACACCCTACCAACGTACTGCCACACCGTACCAATGTACTGCCACACCCTACCAATGTATTGCCACACCCTACCAATGTACTGCCACACCCTACCAATGTACTGCCATGGACCTAATCTTGAATGAATCAATTTCGAACAAGGGCTAGCTACGCTTCTGTTCGGGGTTCCGCAAGAGCAGGTGTTTGGGTCAAGCAGGTATTGCATCCTGTATTTTATAGTGTAGATCTTAGATATACAAGAATAGAGCAACTGGCAAAGCCTATTAGCGCCCTCTTTTTACAGTAATAAACAGTTACACTGTTCACGCATCATATTGTAGTAATGACAAATCATATGTATAATATATAAATAGCTTAAATTATATGTTAATATTATTTTGTTTATGACGATTGTTGCTATAGAAACTAGACCAACCTCAGCCGAATGTTACTGGTGGACAGCACATACTGAACGTACAATTCTGCGCTTGATGATTGATATATAAATAAGTGTGATCTAGTAAAAGCGTCTAGTATCTTTAATAGTTACTCAGTGCATGTTGATTGGATCGTCACAAAGGTTATCTAAATGTCGTGAGTTGAACATTACTATTGATAACTTAATTATAGAAACTGTACACTGTGCAAAACTCATTTGCGTTTTGTCGACTGTTGTCTGTCTTGGAAAGACCACATTGATTACATATCAAAGAAAATTTCGAAAAAGATTGGTGTTCTGAAAAGGTTACGACCTTTCATGTCTAATGATGTTCTCAGTAAAGTATATCAAAGTATAGTTTTCCCACATTTTATCTATTGTTCTGTAGTCTGGAGTGAGGCTAGTACATGTAACAAATAATATATTCATAAAATCTCCAAACCACAGAAGAGAGCAGCTAGAGATCTGTTAAATATAAGAGACATTTTTAACCCTTCCATTCTGCTTTTTAAAAAGTTAAAGTGGCTGCCAATAGAAGATTACTTTATTTTGAGGAAAACACATTTTACATGGGAATACTCCAAGTGTTTTAAGTAATATGTTTACCTATGTCAAGGACATCAGTTTTAGAAATACAAGGTCATCAGTTTCCAACAAGTTTTATATTCCCACTGCTAGAACTAATTATTTTGAACGTTCATTTGTGTACACATGTTCTGTTTTATTGAATGGATTGCATGTAAATATTCGTGTAGTGCTGCTGCTTCTACAGGATTTCTTCTCAGATTTTTAGTTTGGTACTTACTTTATGATATACGTTGTAACAATATACTTTTAAAACAAATATTGTATTTGTGTGTAATATACATGTATTTTAAACTGCAAATGCCTTTCATGTAGTTCATGTGTATTTTTCTGTGATATCTGTAAATATATTGAGGCAGGGCCATATTGTAAATTAAACATGTCTAAATATGTATCCCTGGATAAATAAAAGATATTGTTATTATAACGAACCTCTAAACATTCTCCTGAATACCTGTATTCATGTTGGCATACATGTATGATTATCTAACGGATGAGTGATCACAATCCTCTACAGGAGAATCACATGAGCAGGTAGGGGTATCAAATAGTGAGATTCAAATAGATCAGAATACAGGTTACTGGCATGGTTAAGTTGACATAAGGTAATATTTAATTTTCGATCACCCTGGTATATAAACATATAAGTACACTGAGAATCCATATCAGCGGAACGTAAAAATCTCTTTTTATAGCTCCCATGGATGTCATAGTGGGATACATGCAAGTTGGATGATTCCATAGAGACATTAGTTTCAGGAAAATACTGGCATTATATCAACAATCATATTGTGGCGAAAATAATAATTGTCAGTATTGTTGTTTATGTATGGTTGCATTAAATCACAGACATGAGCGGGGCTTTTATTATTGTTTATTT